TTTTGAACCACCTTGTGCTGGATTCTACTGTTGCTTCGGATTATTGTGCTATAATTTAGTTTTTATGTGAATTGTGTACCAATATTCATCTTTTGGTGTATTTTCCAATCGGTGCAAATTTGGTGGGTATTCTTTGGCTAATTCCGGAGATCTCATTGATTGGCCCAACTGTCACCTGTGTCCGCCAACTTGCATTTGCTCTACCTTGTGATGCCGTCTTAAGCTACTTGTGATTCGTGTTCGGAAGTTGTTGGACATAAGGCTCATACACGTCGGTGCTTCGGCTGTGATGTTTTGTTCCATATTTGATGTATTGGCTTATCCGTTGACGTGTTTCGAAAATCTCTCGACATCCGACATCGGTTTTTCCAAGTTATAAGTGATAAATATCGGTGTGCAAGGCATAAGAATACACAACGACCGCCAACAACTACGGGAAAACCTCTGTTCCAGGCAGAAACAAACCGTTCATCAGGTGGGGGCAAATGCCCTCGTGAAAGTACCTCCGTCACCTCGCCTTCCCTTGTCTCTCCGAGATCTGCACCACCACCAGCGTCTTCGACCCTGGCCGAGCCTCAGATTCAATTAAAGGCTCAGACTCCGAAGCTACGAAATGCCGCTTCACTGCGCGGTCCGCGAATTTCTCAGAGCCTGTCTGTGAACTTCGGAACATCGAGGATCCTTGGACTACTCAAAGACGCAAGGGGCCACGTAATCTAGTACAGGCATCCCCTGCTGATAAACAACAACCCAATCAGTTCTGCTCCAACAGGTTCATCACCGATTTCGCTGAGGCGTCATAATGTTCTGATCTTCCACGTGCCAGAGTCAAAAGATGAAAATCCTCAGATACATTATGATCACGATATTGAGTTCCTCCAGGGGCTGATTGATAGACTCTTGGATGTGGGCGAAGACAGTGTGACAATTAAACAAATAATCCTGCTTGGCCGGTAAACTAACCAGTCATATCGACCCTTGAGAATTACCTTTGCAAAGTACAATATGCCGCAGCTCATACTGTCTCGTCTGTCAAGACTGAAAAGCAAAAAGGTTTCACACCAGCCGAGGCTTGGAACCCAAAGACTGGGATCGTTTGAAGACTACGGTCATTGAGCTCAACCGCCGTAGAGAGGAAGGTGAGACTGACTTTAAAATCGTAAATTATCGGGTGATCAAGTAGGGTGTACGAACCCGTATCAACCGGTTGCTCAACCTCCAGGCATGTCTCGCAGTATTTCCCAGGACCTCCGCGTGGCATTCGCCAACGTGTGCAACCTAGTGGACAAACGTGACGTACTGTGTCGCTTCGCTGTCTCGGAGCGACCGGACGTTTTAGGACTTGCAGTGACTTGGCTGCCCTCCAAACTCATACCCCAATAAGTCACGTTATCAGGATACTCTTGTTTCCGATGCGATTGAAAATCAAAGCCTCAAGGTGGTGTTCTGTTTTACATAAAATCTACACTAACTGGCAAACTTACCAGCACCCGTCGGAGCGAGGATAATTTATGCGAGCAATTGTGGTGCACAATACGCCTCAGACGTGCAGAACTAATAGTGGGGCTTATCTACCGGAGCCCATTAAATCGTTGTTGCGATGGGCTACCACGTGTACAGAAGCACATGAGCCACCCTCAATTCTTACTGATGGGGAATCTAAATTTACCTAAGATATTTTGGCCAGACGTTCGGCTCCTTCCTGGTCATGGCAACGATGAGGCTCAATTCGCAAAAATGACTATTGAAATGGGGGCAATGCAACATGTCATCCAACTGACGCGTGTAACTCCGCACTCGGCGTCTTGTCTGGACCTAATATTTACGAGCTGCTAGCACAAGCTGAACGAAGTCAGATTCATCGAACCTCTGGCGAACAGTGACCACTGCTCCATTGTGGCAAGCTTAGAACAGTCGTTACCGTATTACAACCAACGGAAGCTGACATCCAACTATTGGGAGACGGACTTCAACGGGCTCGTCCAAGCCGCAAATCAAAATGATTGGAAACTACAACAGGATGGGTCGATGGAGGCCAGTTGATCATTGATGAAGGGGAAGCTTAACTCGCTGTATACTTAGTTAGTTCCCCTGAAGTATTCAAAAATTGGACCTGTCAAACCGCATTGGTTTGATACGGAATATAGACAGTTAGCGCGACGACGTCGCAAACTTTGGGATAAATACATCGGCTCCGGTTGTGATGAAGATTGCACTGTGTACACGAAACACCGTAACTTATGTAACGCTGCAAAGATCAAGAAACGCCGGCAGTTCGAAGAGGAGCTAGGATCTTCGACCACAGCTGCACCCAAAAGAATATTTGCCTAATTAAAACGTCAACTGAAACCTAGGGCGACCTACCGGTCTTAGAGAGCTTGGACGGACAGACGCTCATTTCAAGCGCGGAGCTCGCGGACGCCTTGGTTACCCACTTCCTCACCTATTTTTCAGTAAACCAGCAGCTGTTACAGTACCGGCACAGGTTGTGCCAGTCTTGCTCGACAGCCTACAATGTGATGCAGTAGAAGTGTAGCGGCTACTCGTCAAGCTCGATGATGCAAAGCCCCCGGACCAGACGGACTTCACCCACTAATACTCAAGTCCCTAACGAATATCATCTTACCATCCGTGACAAACCTATTCAATGAATCACTCTCTGAATAATCCGTCACCGAGGACTAAAAATGCTCGATGGTGGGACCGCTTCCCAAGGGTAATGATCCGAGTAAATTAGAGAACTATAGACAGATTTGTGTGACTTCGATCTTATCCAAAGTTCTCGAGAAGGTTGTGAAAAATTGTCTGCTGACGTGCTTCGAATCGATGGACGTATTGACGTCAGCGCAACACGGCTTTACGAAAGAGCGATCCTGCGTCACCAACTTGATATACGTAAAGCACCAGTGGGTACAAGCTGTCACCAAACGAAAGGATGTTGACGTGGTGTATATTGACTTTATTAAGGGGTTTGAAAGAGTGAACCACGAGGTACTCCTTCGTAAACTGACCACATACGGCATCGGTGGCACGCTACTTCAGTGGTTACACCAGTTTACTGTGGGACGAAAGATTAGAGTACAGATCAATGACTACCTAACTGACTGGTTCCCATCTACCAGTGGCGTGCATCAAGGAACTGTATTTGAGCCAGTATTATTTCTTATTCCTACCAACGATCTTCCGCAGCAGCTCCAGTTGCCATGTGCCCTGTTTGCAGACGATTTGAAAACCTGGAGGATCATTGAGAACCAGGACGACTGCGCTCGCCTCCAGCATGACTTAGATCGATTGTCATCGTGGTCCACTGAAATGCAACTCCCTCTTAACGCAAGCAAGTCGGAGTTCATCAGTATCACCAAGCATCCAGCCATTCGGGCATACATCTTCGACGGCCAGTTGCTCCACCCTGACACATCTGTCAGAGACCTAGGAAGGTTCTCGCGACATGATATGAGATCACTGGAAAATACAGAGAAATTGTACTGTGCGGGACTTCGTGTGCTCTGGGCGTTAAGACGTAGTTTCGCCACATAGTCCGAAGGAACCACCCTCGTCTATTCACCTCCCTCATTATACCAATCCTTGAATATGGTGCCCCAGCTTACCATCCGGTAACGCAGTGGGAAAGTGAAAAGCTGGAGAAAATTCAGCATATCGCAGCTAGAATGATACCGAGTCTACAAAAGCTTCCGTATGAAAAACGTTGTGGAAGACTCAGACTCTACACGCTATCCTACCGCCGCGTAAGAAGTGACTTTATTATGACCCATCGAGTACTACACTTGAATCACTTCCCCATACTGCCGCCAATATTTCACCTGCGGGAACCCCGTAACACCCGAGGACCCCTTTACAAACTCAGGGTCCTCTGCATGAACAAATATCACATCAGCTTTGTATAGAACGAAGAATCTAAACTTATGGAATACACAACCAGCAGGATTAATAAAGGCCGATTCTGTGAAGTGTTATAAAACACGTATCGACGATTATTTCGGAAACCTGTGCTTTTGTGAAACGATGCACATACAATGCCAAAAGAAGACATCGTATACCCGGAAATAATGACACTAATACGAATTCCTAACCGAGCAAGGACAAACGATTAACTGACCAAACACTATGGTTGACGATTCGCAATTAAATGCTTTTGATTTTTCATAATTCCATAGAGTTGTACAGAAACCTTTCTATTTGCTCTCAGTCTCAGTCTCACATTAAATGCAACGATTAGTTCAAGTCCTGCGGCACAGTCGCTATTGCGTCAACCGTAATCGTAGTTCGTAACTGCTGAATGCGCACATCCTACATTCCACTGCCCACGATTGGGGCCCAAGAACAGCGGGCGCAAGTCGAGGCCAGCCTAAGTACATGCTTGGTGACCTTGTTGGGAAACGACGTATGTAAACACTGACGACCTCCTGAAGACTGTACTTGAGATTTCACCACGGTCTCGTGGTCTCAGCGATACTTAACTGGAACAACATCGTGTGATGCTTTAGAATCTACGCATCACTACAAAGATCACCCTCACCCTAATTAGTCATTCCAATGAAATGTCCGGTGGCAGTCATTTGGCTGAGATTAACAATACAAGTGGCCAGAACCAATCGTTACAATGACGACCCGAATTGGTTTGTGTTGTGCTTAAGCTTGTGTGTACGTGTGTGTTCATACGTTCACTTGCCTTCCAAGTGTCGGTGAGCGGTGCGCGAGCGCGCTAACATACAGCGCGGGGTGCATACAGTCTGCATATGTCCGGTCGTTCAAAATGTCCGCTCGGACGCTCTTCGGTCTGAGACGTAGTTGCGCCAGGGTGTGTACGTGCGTGTGTGCGAAACCTTGCTGTGTACATCGAGAGCTTGATAGGCGGAGCATTGTTTATTGCGTGAAAATTCACATTTTCTTGTTGTGAGCAGGGATCCGCTCTCGAATCGTTCCTGAAAGCTGCACCTACTCCAATGACGATGGTTCTACACTAAGGCCATGCTGGTCCCATGAACACCAAACAAATCGCGTTTATCGTGTTGGATATCATTCCAGGCATCGTTCACATCAGTGGCGCCAATATGGAGGGAGTAAGTGATGGTGTTTTACTTTAAATGACTATAAAGAGTAACGCTAACGAGGGTAGTCTAGTCGGTAGGCTCGCACCCCCCTACTAAGTATGATGGCTGTGCGATACCGCGTTGGCCGGAACCAGAAGATCCGTAACCTAAGCAAGACACTGTTCTAAAGTTAAGTGTGGGACGCGGAATCACCTGAGTGTTTAGTCTTTGTTTGTTATTATTCCAGGGACTTTACAAACCGCATCGTAAATCACTCTTTGTGTCTTGTTGACTTATATTTCTCTATAACCAAGACCCATCCTAGCCTCAAGCACATCTAATATACTAATTCGGTGGCTTTTATTAGCTATTCCTAATTGGACCAAACTCTACTGGAGCAGGTCATTACGGCCTAACGATATTCGCATTCGAGTCAGAGCATCCTCAGCTTGGTTTGGAGTGCACCAGACACCACTTTGCTGGACTGACAGTTTCCTACCGAGGGGGAAAATACCAACCATGGTGAAAACAGCGCGAGATCCCTCCTAATCTCATCGGAGTTTAATTTAAGCAGCGCACACCATATATACTCGGATACATAAGATATGGTCTCTCACGATTTTTTCTGCCCAACGTAACTACATGTTTAACATCCACAGAATTTCATTCCCGTTGCATCAATTCCTATACTCCGTCAAATTTTTCGTACTTTATAATAATACACAATAAGACTTACACCGTCATACAACTTAACCTATTTGTATATGTATATATATATTATATATATATATATATATATATATATATATATATATATATATATATATATATATAATAGCATATCAGTCACGCTACATCAGAGACAAGGCTCATAACAGCGTTGCATTCCACAAACAGTTTCACATTGGATCGGCGGTATGGTTCTATACGTAAATGTGCAGCACTACCTCTGGAATGGGATGCTTAGCTATGTGGAGCCCGCGGCTAAAGGTGCCCTTAACTTATCGCAATTTATGCAGTGAATACGCCTTTTTGGATAGTTAAACATCTAAATGTGAAACATCCGTACTTTGTGATGGTATTTTAATCATCCACTAAGCTCCGTTCTGAGTTTAGAACATACCCTGCGCTGTTGCACCTAGTATGGGGTACAAGTTCAAGTTCAAGCGGGACTAGAACGATAGGATTATCCCGTGAATGTTCCTTCTTCAGCGGGTCGTTGAATCAGGAGTTGGCAGACTTTGAAATATTGATGGACCTAAAACAAAGACCGCACCACACCCTGTCCAAGCAATTAATGCCCACGTATCCTGCCCTAGCAGTCCCTGCTGGGCCGGTTATGTGAAGTAAGAAAGAGAAAAAAGTAAACACAGAAGGCAAAAAGAGAAGTAAAAAGAGCTAAACAAGTAGAATACCAAGGTTTGAGTCATTAAAGAGCCGAAAAGTGAAGGTGAGTCAGTTAGGAAAAAGCAAAGGTTTGGTGTCACCACCCAAGAGCATCTAGCTGGCACGCAAACTCCTTAACCGTAAGTTCCGTAACCACGTGATCTGGAAGCGAATTCCAGCGATCAGGCGCGTTTCCGTCCTAATCCTATCAGATCGTGGTTTATGCAGTTTCAGTGGGTGACCGCGGAAATTAGCGAGTGAAACATTAGCTGGGCTGAACGGCAGTAATTGTGCTCACTAATTAGGGTGTCACGTAAACTGGCACCTAGTACGAAAAAGCGCTACACTTTCGTACAACCGAATCAACCAACGATGTCACATCAATATTCGTTTCAGGTTGGTTAGTCCATGGGAAACACAGCAGAAGCGTTCATCCCTTGATTAAAGCACAACGGTTTTCATTGGCTTCTTCAAATGAGTAAGTTGATTTTATATCAGAACTCAATCAGCCACTCAATGACCAATGATTTATCACTGGGGAAAAGCAGGTGCTTGACAAGTCCAATAGGATGGTTAGGGTAAAACAGCAGAATCAATGGCTATGCGTGTCATGCGTTTAAGCGCTTTAAAGGTGCTCCTGCAAGTGGGTAGAGTGAAGTCGGTATTTGCATTTTAGCATATAAAACAATGCGGGGAACACTTATAGTTACCTTTTTGTAAGAGGCTTTTATAAATATAACTCTGCTCAACCTCCACTCGTAGGTTTTCCGGACGTGATGCATCTTGATGGCTTAAGATGCGCCACCTTCAACTGAATTTATCCACTTTATGACAAGTTGCAAAGTTTGTGAAGCACACTTTCCACGTCACCACAAAGTACTGCACTTTATGCGCACTCAGTGTGCAACAATCTCCTTTGCTGACATCGTAGCTCCACAAATGAACCTATGGAATACGTGTGGAGCATGTGAGCAAATTGTTCAGTACCTTTTCTCTGACTCACCTCGCACAATTTTTCTTCTCGTAGCTAGTTGCTAACCCTCAATGAGTCAGTGTGTTTAGGCTAAAACCGTGGTTAATGTACCCCACCCTCAACGGAACGGATTCTGTTCTATCGACTGGAAATGGCAATAAACCACCCGACCACCAGCTGGGTAGTTGCGATGGCTTTGAGTGGTAAGCCACTCCTTTATCTATTCTAATGGCGCTCAGCTCATGTGACTTGGCGGTCCAACTAAATCGCTGCGACTAGCGTGCTATAAACCATGTCTCTACGAGTGTCTGATAGGCGACCGGTCTGACGCCGAACGGGACATGCTTCTGTGGTTGAAATCTGATGGTCAAACCGGGCACTCACTGGATCATCAGATCAGAGTCTATGCGATTTCATCTACACTGTATTGCTCAGTTTCCTTATTACCGCGGTATTCCCTACAGTACCGACGGCTGCTTTTCTTCAAAAGGCGCAAAAAACAAATTGGCTTTCGTAGGCAAAACTTGGAGAAACTTATTTACAAGGAGGATATCATGAAATATGGTTCGGCTACAACAACAGATTTTCTGACCCGGATGGCTGTGGTTGTCGTAGATGGCGTTCAACCAAACGTTGTGTCCGTTGCCGGATTTCATCTGTAAATACAGTGTCCGTACGTCCAGTTTACCGCTTGCGTATTATAAAGTCTGACGTACTTTTTTGGCCAAACGTTAGACATCTGATTACTGCTCATGCAAAGCATATATGGAGTGCCGGTGACACGATATTTCTGGTTGACTCCATGTCAATTGGCAGTTCGTGCCAACTGACTGTTCATGGAGCGGAGCGTTCTGTGGCGCACTAGGTCATATAACGATTTTCCACATAATGATGAACGGGCTACCTGAATACATTAGGTACATTACATTAGATATATTCTCATGGTGTCATCTGGGGCTTGATGGCAGGATTATCCAGTTCGGCTCTGAACTCAGTCAAGTCTCTGAAGGAGTTCAGCGGATGTAGGCTGATATACACCCGCACTCTCACTCTAAGCACAAGAGTATGTTAGATCTGCTGCTTGACCGGCTTGTGTTCATGGTGTCTATCACGAATTCGGATGACCTCATATATGAGGTTGGATAGCATAGCTATATTTGCATGCTTACCCGATATGTCATCCTTGTTCGGAGCGTAGGTGGCATATAACCGCGACAAAGACAACTGTCATGTGGAGGATATGGGGCTGACAGCCACTCATTGAGAACCACATGTGCCTTGAAGTAATGGGTTTATTCAGTGCTGGATACTTTTCTTCGACTGCAGATGCATCACATTATCCTCAATCTTCAAGCTGTGGCATAGAGGAGAACAGTCAACGTCCGGCGAGGGCATCCGTCTATGACTTGTTGATTATTTCAACCGTGTTTCACAACCCATGAACTTTCTATCGGCGCAGCAGAAGTTACGGAGTTCGAATCTGCTTAAATATTCCGCTTTCCATGGCGTTCCATCTCGTAGATAGCATCGCTGGACGGAAGTTCACAGCACGGCTCTAGCTCACCTTTCATCCCTTTGCTTTAGCGCAGTGACCTAATAACTAATGCATGCGTACGAATGCCAAACACGCACCGGTGGCTCAGTGCATGCGTAGCTTGACAAGCAGAGACCCGACAGGTGCAGGCGAGTTGTGTAACCACGGGCTTTCTAGAAGCCTGGAGGACAACCGGGGCCATCTTGCTTTGTCTTCACCTTCTATCCAAGTGCCGTGGGCAGCTGTGACATTGCAGTCTTCACACCCATGTCGCAAAACATCTGTAAGTTTAGATAGTGTGTGTGATGGTAAGATACTACATTTAGATGCCCGTTGCATAGCGATCGGTCGAGCGTAACGATTTTGGGCCAACAGTCTGAAAGCTGGTCGATCGCTGTAGAGGCGAACTGAAGGATAGCATGCAATCGATTTAGATCGGCATTGAACGAAGCTCGAACCTTGACCGAGAATGTAATAGGAAGGAGATTTGTTCTGCATCTGTGAGTGATTCTAATTGACTCGAGGTATAAAATGAGTTTGCGTTCTATAAATAATGAATTTCTGATCGAGGCTCAGACTTTGACTTTTTGATGCACGGAGGGCCACTCGACAGTTTGTATGGATAAAAAGCCGTAGGCAACCGCAACTGTGTGTTTAGGCGATCTGCAAAGGTGTCGTCCAAAGGATTGGAAGGTCCTTTACCTTTAACCATGCTGTGGCTTCGGTGAATTCATAGCACGGGTGCATTGGTAGATGCGTGAGTCGGTCGAAGATAGGTATTTGTGGAAGGGGGAAGTTTAATGCAAAACGATTGGATACACATTTCGGACTGCTTTATACCTACGACAACTTACGACACAACACTAACGAGTATCACACCGTTCGGATGCTTCAATGTGCTAATCAAACCTTCGAAGCTTACAGAAACCGCAGGTTCAATCGTCGACGTAATGAAGTGTGACTTTGTGTCATCAAGAAGAATAGGAGTTCCTTGAACCTGGGATGAATACGGTTCGAAAGCACGCAGAAAATTTGTGATTGACTGGTGTGCTCAGCGTACCATTCCCTGTAAACGTCCAAGAAATGCTTCGAAAGGAAATTGTGAGATGTTCTCCGGTGGGCCCATCCAGCGAACTT